CGACTTCTTGTCTGATTTTTTGGCTCGATGTTTTGTCCGATTTTTTTCTGACCTTTTGTTCGATCTTTTGTTTGATCTTTTTTCCGATCTTTTTGTCCGATTTTTTGTCCGATCCTTAGCCCGATTTTTTCCTGACCTTTTGTCCGATATTTTGTCGGATTTTTTCCGATCTGTTGTCCTTTTTTTCTGACCTTTTGTCCGATTTCTCGTCAGACGCTTTCGTTCGATCTTTTGTCCTATTTTTTTCTGACCTTTTGTCCGATCTTTTTAGCCGATTTGTTTGTCCGATGTTTTGTCCGATGTCTTTTCCGATCATTTGTCCGATTTTTTGTTCCGATCTGGTCCGATCTAGGTGTGGTAGGCCTAGTCCTAACGTTGACCTTTTCATGAAACGAACCGAACTCTAATTTGGGTCGACCTAAATTAAGCTAAGATCGTCTGATGGATCAGACGTCAAACTCCGAACCAATCAACTGAATCTGACCGAAAAGCAATTTTGGCGAAACGAGGCTAAAGATTCATTATCATACAAACTTTTAATTTATTAGTTTAGTTCATCGCGTGTGAAGATCGATGTTTGTCCCGGAGGCGATCTTCAAGGCGTGCTATCTGTTCTGCAACAGACAGATAGAACGTGTTGGACGATCCAAACTCATTCAGACGAACGTAACTGAGCCAGACGTCCAACTTCTCATGAACTTTCCTCACTAAGTTTGGTTCGTCGCATGAAAAGTTCGACGTTTGACCAAGGCCTTATATATAATAAATAGGTGGAATAATTATAAAGAATACAATAGAAACAATGTCATAAGTTTACGAGGTAAAATTAACTTTTTCTGCTTCTTTTCATGAGTTCGCTGAAACCCCAACGCGTTATCAGTATTGTGCTCAGGCGCCGTTGCTAACGCAAATTTTGATTTTTGGGTTATTACACTGTAGTTTAAAAAGCAAGTAAATTGATTTGAAAACCAAGAGTTTTCAATCCATACAAGAAATATAATATCAAAATAAAAAGCTTATCCTAGCTGAAGGAAAAAATAAAACAAAATTAACAAATAACAATAGTTATGCAGCCCTAATAATGGCGTCATAATCAATATGCAACAGACACGAAATAATAATCGTTGTTGTTGCACCAGATCCTGTTGGCGATAACGGACTCAAATTTAGTGAAGGTTGGATTTGACATTTTAAATGTAGTGAGGTCATTTGGTCCGTCGTGGAGGCGAGCAAAGGAATATATTTTTCAAAAAATAACTAATATCACCAAGAAACTAAGAGAAACTAATGGAGCATTTCAAAAAACATACCAATTTAACTATTTACTATCACAGGAAATTTGTTGTAGCCTTATAAAAGCGAGAAACACCTGTTACTAACGTACAAACTGCAGAAAGATAACGGTGAGCCATTTCACCGCCGATGGAGAACAAGAAAAATACCGGCGAGGAAATATTTTGCTCGGTAGAATTTACCAGAGGAATACAAAGCCAGTTGATCTTTCTTCTAGTGCTGAACACAATTCTGTCTGTCACCGCGTTTTTCGAGAATACTCTGATCCTACTAGCCCTCAAGAAAGTTACAGCTCTTCATCCACCGTCTAAACTCTTGTATCGTAACCTGGCCGCAACTGATCTCTGTGTTGGTGTCATTGTGGCACCTCCAAATGTAACTTTCGAGATCGCGGCTGTAACCGGACGATGGAACATTTGTCGCCATGCATTCCTTGCAAATGATATCTCAGCATACATTTTGTGTGGGGTGACTTTATTGACGGTGGCGGCCATTAGCTTGGACAGGCCTCTAGCGCTGTTGTTGAGGCTCAGATACAGACAACTGGTAACTTTAAACCGGGTCTATCTAATTGTAACTGCGTTATGGATTTTGCCCGTTGTCTGTACAGCAATGCACTTATGGAATTCCCAAGTAACCACATGGTACAGCTCTATACTGTCATCACTGTGCCCAGTCTTATCGGCTGCTTCTTTTGCGAAAATTTTTCATGCTCTCCGTCATCAACAAAAATTCATGTGCAGAATCAATTTCACCAAGGACAGTCACGCGAAATAAGTCTACTGAACATGGCGCGCTACAGAAAGGCAGTATCCAGTGCACTATGGGTGCAGTTGGCATTAAATATTTGTTATCTGCCGATAGTCATAGTGGAGGCTTTGACAATTCAAGGATCATCCCCATCTGTTGTTATTGCTAAAGAGTTTGCAGTGGCTTTACTTTATCTACATTCAACATTAAACCCGATATTGTACTGCTGGAAGTTGAATGAAGTTAGAAAAGCGGTCAAAGGAATAATTGAAGAACTTAGGTGTTTATTCTGTTTACATTGTTAAGTTTGTTAGTTACTGTTACTGCGTGCGGAAGACGAGAGCTTGAGCCACCAGGACGGCGATTTCAACGAGAAGGACAAAAAGGAATAAGCTTTAGTTTGGATTCCGCATAATAACCCAGGTGCCGTTTCAAATTGTGTTATTGCAAAAAAATGTTGAATATTTCGTGAGGATTTTGTAAGCCTTTTAGAATCCGACGAGTGAGTGATATATAACCCTCTTCGTCACTAGCATTAAAGTATGTTGCCATTTTATTTTTGCCTATACATATCATTTTTAAGTGTTTCTTTAAGCTTAGGTACAATTCCACATACAATATTAACAGAGACGGAAAGAGACACACAAACTAACACAAAAAAAGGGTAACAAGGAACAAGAAAAGGATATTATAACACTGATTTAACTTTAATACTAACAAAAATCAACTGAACATGACATAATTGTATGCGGCCAAAGGCACAAAGATTCTCGAACGCTTGAAGGCTCTACAGAGGCTGTATAGCCATAGAACGCTAACTAATATCAAATAGAACAACGACAGCTAATCAAACAGTCCACTGAGAGAAGCAACCTTTAGACTTAAACGGCAGATTGACGTAAAGTCGCTGAAAAGACGACGACGACTACTACTAATAAGTCATTGTAGTGCCTGTTGTTATTGGGCCCCCTTGGAGCCGTATCGGTCAACTTTAAGGAGTACATGAAGCGAATCGGCGTGAACGTGAGGTTGGAAGTTATCCAGAAACCATCATTGTTGGGGACAGCAAAAATACTAAGGAAAGTACTGTCCCTGTAGGAAGAAGGAAAATAGAGACCTGGGACCCGTTGGACTTGTTGTAACCCGCTCCCAAGGACTAGAAACCAGGCCGAACATCCCGCCTGAGTCTACAAGGAATGGACATAATAATAACATTTTTTATATAGCGCTCATGGAGCATAATGCTGGTACACTGAGTCAGGACCTTGTATCACCCTTTTCCTAAACACAACACGCCAATTTTTTACGAAGTCACGCTTTAGCAGAAACGTCTGCCTTTTTCAGTTCTAATAGAAAAAAAAAAATTTATAACGTGAGTTACATTTTTACTTGAGTCGAAATAATTATAAAAATTACAATAGGAAGAAGGAATAAAAACTAGAATAATAAAAGAAACTATTTTTAGATTCCTTTCATTTAAGAGCTATACTGCACACAGCGCCGTTGCTGACTTTTGTAAAAATTCCCTGACACAAATTGCAAAGAAATATAGCTGCAAATTGTAAAAACAAATCAAATATGTCACACTTGTCACACTTTTTAAATCTCGGGCCACTGGTTAAAAATGCTATGAAACTGACGTGGAAACCCAGACAAGAAAATTTATAGAACTATATAATATCATATAAAAACTAAAAAGCTCTTGGTTCTTGCGAAAGGTTGATTTCAACTGACGCGTTTTTCGCCACGCACGTTAACACACGTAAATTTTAATCACGTAAATAAAATAGAGGAAAGATAAAAAGCGCTGAGCTTAAAAGCGAAGTTGATCGAGTATCAACTTTCACGTTGACGAGCAAAATTTCATGCATTGCCTCTATTTCATTTGCGAACGTAAATTTTACGCACGTACGCACGTAAAATTTACGCTACACTGCAAATCAAAAAATAACCCTGAAGAGTTTGCGAAAAAACTTGGCACTAACACCTGCAGCTGAAAATCGACAACGGACTCGAATAACGGTTGAATAAATACTTTGAATGTACAGAGAACGTGGGCACTCTTGGGTGGCGAAGAAAAGAATATGTATGTGAAAATACTAAGATTACCCTGTCAAAAACTAAAGACAAAGAAATGGAGCATTTCACATCTTGCCAGTTAACGGAGTGCTGGTTACTTAATTAAAAGGAAATCAAATTAATTATTTACTATCACAAGATATTTGTTGTAGCTTTATTAAAAAGATATGCACCTGTCACTAAAGTACAAACTGCAGAAAGATGACGGCGAGCACTCTCACCGCCGATGGAAAACACTAAAAATATGAGGAAATATTTTGCTCAAAAGAATTAACCAGCGGAATACATAACCAGTTGATATTTCTGTCAGTGTTGAACACAGTTTTATCGGTCACTGCGTTTCTCGGCAATACTCTGATCCTACTGGCACTTGGGAAAGTGACATCACTTCATCCACCGTCCAAACTCTTGTATCGTAACCTAGCCGCAACTGATTTCTGTGTTGGTGTCATTGTGGAACCTCTAAGTATAACTTACTTGATCGCAGTATAACCGGACGATGGAACATTTGTCGCCGTGCATTCCTTGCAAATTATATCGCAGCATATATTTTGTGTGGGGTGACTTTGTCGACAGTGACGGCCATCAGCTTGGACAGGCTTCTAGCGCTGTTGTTAAGGCTCAGATACAGACAACTGGTAACCTTGAAGAAGGCCTATCTAACTGTGACTGCGTTATGGATTGTGTCGGTTGTCTTTGCAGCAATACACTTTTGGAATTCCCAAGTAACAATATGGTACAGCTCTTTAATTATATCACTGTCTTTAGTCTTATCGACTGCCTCTTTTGCGAAAATTTTTCATGCTCTCCGTCATCAACAAATCCACGTCCAGAACCAAATTCACCAAGGACAGTCAAACGATGCAAATCTACTGAACATGGCGCGCTACAGAAAGGCAGTATCGAGTGCCCTATGGGTGCAGTTGGCATTAGTTATTTGCTATCTACCCATAAACATAGTGGAAGGTTTTACAATTCATGGATCGTCCCCATCTGTTGTTATTGCTAAGGAGTTTACAGCGACTTTAGTCTATCTAAACTCAACATTAAACCCGATATTGTACTGCTGGAAGATGAATGAAATAAGACAAGCGGCAAAAGGAATTATTGGAGAACTTAAGAGTTTATTTTGTCTGCCTTGATAAGTTTCTTAGTTACTGTTACTGCGTGCAGAAGACGAGAGCTTGAGCCACCACCACGACGAGAAGGACAAAATGGCATGGGCTTTAGTTTGGTTTCCGCATAATAACTGGGACGCTGTTTCAAATTGTGTTCAGCCCATAGACGGAGTCGACCATAAGGGAACATCTCTGATGCCAGGGGGACAATTTTCCATTTCAGACGATGGCAAACGCCATGTATCACAAACGCGCCATAGTTTTTTCATATTTGGGCGTCTGCCAAAAAGAGTTTTTGAGATCGCTTGTTTTGATTCAAAGTTGCAATAGGCACGCAATACGTGCGAACGTAAACAAGCGAAGGGTTACTTTTTAGTTGTTGTTTTTTTTTTAACCAAAAAGCTGCAAGATAAGGAGGATTTGACAGGTGCAGTGTAATGCCGATCAGTTTTTCAGTCTACTTAAAAACACGGCAATGCCAGAGTTGAAGTTACCTTCTGGCAGCCTTTCCACGCTCAATAAAATGAAAGAAAATAAGGACAGTTAAGAAAAAAGACGGCTTGTGCAGTCAGTTGGCTTGTCAAGTCATGACCTTTGTGTCTAAACTCCTCACAAAAAAACACAACCTTTTCAAATTCGTATACATGTTTTAGCAGAAACGTCTAGCTTCTCCAATGGTAGTTGCAAACGAATAAATAAGGTGTGCCAGGCCTGGGCCAAACGTCGAACTTTTCATGAGACGAACCAAACTCTAATTTGGGTCGACCTCAATTAAGCTAAGATCGTCTGTTGGGTCAGACGTCGAACTTAGGACCCGTCAAACCAATCAACTGAATCAGATCAAAAAGTAATTTTAGCCAAACAAGGCTAAATATTCATTATCATACAAACTTTCAATTTATTAGTTTAGTTGGTCGCATGTGAAGATGGGCGTTTTTCCTGGAGACGCTCTTCAGACGAAGAAAAAGACGGCTTGTGCAGTCACCTTGACCTGCAAAATTCAGCTGGTATGTCAAGTCATGAATTTGTGTCAAAACCTCTCAGAAGAAAAACACAATGTTTTCAAATTCATGTACAGGTTTCAGTAGGAACGTCTACATTCTTAAGTGTTTGTTAGAAAGGAATAAATAAGGTGTGTTATGTACAGTGAATAGGCGGAATAATTATAAAGAGGACAATAAGAAGAATGTAAAAAGTGTGCGTGGTAATATTAACCTTTTCCCGCGTCTTTCCCGACGGGAGTTCGCTAAAGTCTTCATGCGTTATCAGTAATGTGCACAGCGCGTTGCTGATTTAAAAAAAAAACCGCCCTTACGCAAATTGTAAGAAAAAACCAGCTGCAGTTTGTAAATATGCACTTTTTGATTTTGGGGTTATTAGTTTAAAATAAAATTAGATTGGTTTGGAAATTCAGAGTTGGCAATCCATATACTAGGTAATATAATATCAAAATAAAACGCTTATCCTAGCTGAAGGAAAAATAAAACTAAATGAACAATTAACAATAGTTATGCAAAAAAGCCCTGATGTTTGCTTCATAATCAATATGGAAAAGGCAAGATACGAGATAATAAACGTTGTTGTTACACCAGATCCTGTTGGCGACAACAGATTCCAGTTTAGTAACGGTTGATTTGACATTTTAAAGGTAGTGAGGTCATTTGTTCCACTGTGGAGGCGAGGAAAGGAATATATATATTTTAAATAAATAACTAATATCCCCAGGAAACTAAGAGAAAGTAATGGAGTATTTCAAATCCCCAGAGTTAACCGAGTGCTGATTACTTATTTCTAAAAAGATACCAAATAAATTATTTACTATCACAGGATATCTGTTATAGCTTTTTATAAAATAACTAAGATAGTACGCGCGTTCTGATTGGCCGAGAGGAGTGTTTGCATGAGAGTAGGTAAACATGGTTGTGTGGTCAAGATGTTTTGCTTTTCGCGCGCTAATCACGCGAGCACGAATTTCAAAACGTTTTTGACTTTATTTACCCATTCCTTCGTCGGCTGCAACTTGGAAAATCTTTACAAACACACTGTGTCAATTTTTTCTTTCGCTTAAGTTGACATTTTAAGCGAGAAAAATCTGTATTTTGGAAAGTATCTTTCTGCAAAACAAGAACTGGTTACGCGGAAAGATTCGTGTACAAGACTTTGCGACTGGTTATAATTTCTCTTTTAATCAGTGCCATAACGAAGAGTTTTGCGTTATTTCTCGTGAAAGTTATTTTATAAAAGCAATAGAAAACATTTTTCCTATGTTTGTATAGCCGGATATAAACACTCGAGGGGATGGGAGAATTCTCGACAGTTATGCAAACCCTCGACCTGTCTCAAAATCTCCCAACCCCTCTCGTGTTTACATCAGGCTATGCAAACACGGAAAACGTTTTCTATTGCTTTAATAAAAACGAGAAACACCTGTTACTGAAATGCAAACTGCAGAAAGATGACGGCGAGCCATTTCACCGCCGACGGAGAACAAGAAATATACGAGGAAATATTTTGCTCGTTACAATTTACCAGAAGAATACATAACCAGTTGATCTTTCTATTAGTGCTGAACACAATTCTGTCTGTAACCGCGTTTCTCGGTAATAGTCTGATCCTACTAGCCCTCAAGAAAGTAACATCTCTACACCCACCGTCCAAACTCTTGTATCGTAACTTAGCCGCAACTGATCTCTGTGTTGGTTTAGTTGTGGCACCTCTGAGTGTCACTTCCTTGATCGCTGCTGTAACTGGACGATGGAACATTTGTCGGTATGCATTTGTTGCAAATTATATCACAGGTTATATATTGTTTGGGGTGACTTTGTCAACTATAACAGCGATCAGCTTGGACAGACTTCTTGCGCTGTTGTTGAGGCTTCGATACAGACACTTCGTAACCTTGAAGCGGACGTATCTAGCTGTAACTGCTCTATGGATTGTGCCTGTTGTCTGTACAACAATGCACTTTTGGAATCACCAGATAACCGCATGGTACAGTTCTATACTTATATCATTTTCCCTGGCCTTGTCAACTGCCTTTTTCGCGAAAATTTTTCACGCTCTGCGTCATCAACAAATTCACCCGCAGAACCAAATTCACCAAGGACAGTCTAGCGAAGCAAATCTACTGCACATGTCGCGCTACAGAAAGGCAGTATCGAGTGCACTGTGGGTGCAGTTGGCATTAGTTATTTGCTATCTGCCGATAAGCATAGTGGAAGCTTTGACAATTCAAGGATTGTCCCCATCTGTTGTCATTGCTAAGGAGTTTGCAGCGACTCTATTCTACCTAAACTCGACATTAAACCCGATATTATACTGCTGGAAGATGAACGAAATTAGACAAGTGGTGAAAGAAATAATTGGAGAACTTCGGTGTTTATTCTGTCTGCGTTGTTTAGATTGTTAGTTGCTGTCAGCGCGTACAGAAGAAGAGAGCTTGAGCCTCCAGGATGGCAAAATCAACAAGAAGGACAAAAAAGGGATGGGCTTTGGTTTGGTTTCTGCGTAATCGCCCTAAAAGCCAGGTCCTTGATCGGACGATAAAGACGATGCCATGCATGTCGATTCGCACAATAAAGAACCTTAAGGCGTTATATACATTGGCTGGTGCCGATGTGATCGTCCGAGACTAAACACTTGTTTTAGTATCGCAGAGCAATTCGCACAAATACGTTTAGACTTAATAGAACAAATTGTAAGGTAGTTATACAGTAATGCTACAACAAATTCCAAAATAGGGATTATTACCAAGAAAACTATTTCGGGCTTAAATTTAGCGGCAATGTCCGTGTAATATTCAAGACGCTCAATAAATGTAACATGTTATCGCTTAGCCTGCATAACAGGTGTTATTTTTCCCCGCGTCGCGCGTGTCTGGCGATCCTCCCTCGCTTTGCGCTTGTCTTCGCTCGACTGAAAAACGCGAAAAATAACTTTAATTTTTGTAGTCTTATCAAGTATAAGGTTCTGTTTTGTTTGTTTTGAAATTTTTCCTATACTGATAGCAGACTGTACACTGAGTTGACACACACATGACGACCCTTGTCAATATGCTGGTGTCCATCTCGGGTTACGGGTCGTTTCAGTACAAGTTGATTCGTTTGAGATCTAAATAGCTCCACGTCCTTGGCTTAAAGAACGAAGGTATTAACCATAATGTTTTTCTTGTTCACTCGCAAACTATACTTGAAGTGAACAAAATGTTTGTGCCATTTCACTGCTTGAGTTTGTATCGAAACGACCGGTTTCCCCGTCTCGCACAAAAAGCTCCTGGAGACTTGGCGAAGTGTTTATTTCGAACTTGAAATGCGACAAGTATACAAGTATGCTGTGAAATAAATCTACATCAAGAATTTTGTTAGAGATGAAATTAAGAATCTGACTTACTTGTAGTCCTTCTCCCAAAACTTTAAAGAACGTAAAAGAATGTAAAAAGCGTACGTGATAAAATTAACATTTTCTGCTTCTTTCCCGCCAGGAGTTTGCTGAAATTTTCATGCGCTATCAGTATTGTGCACAGCGCCGTTGCTGAATTTTGAAAAAACGCCCTCACGCAAATTGCAATTTAAAAAGCAGCTGCAGTTTGTAAATATGCCCTTTTTGATTTTAGGGTTATTAGTTTAAAATACAATTAAATTGATTTGGAAACCCAGAGTTTGAAATCCGCACAAGTAATATAACATCAAAACAAAAAGTTTATCCCAGGTGAAGGGAAAAATAAAACAAAATTAAAAATTAGCAATAGTTTTGCAGAAAAGCCCTAACATTGGCTCCAAAATCAATATGGCAGATGCAGCCGGGCACAAGATAATAATCGCTTTCGTTAGGCTGCGTACCAACGGACGCAATAACTCCCAACGTTGCTGCGCCAACAATGCTAACCCTAAACCTGAGGTAAACAACTTTTCACGCAGAGCAGAAAAACTTGGGCAGTATAGGAAATAATGTTTCACGTCTTCAATAGATGCATCGCAAAGAACAGAGGTAGATGAAGGACAGCAATTTTTCTGAAAAAGGTGATAACTTAAGGCACTAAATTAAGTCTCAAACGAGTGTGAAAAATTGACGCTGAATGATCTCCGATATCAAACAGATAGCTGCGGGATTGAAAATGCAGGAATTTTAAAAGGTTGCGCTTGAACCTGGAGAAGACAATATGCGTGTCTCTAATGGAAGACTGTTCCACTCTTGAATCGATGAAAAGAGAAAAGATTTTTTTGTGCCTCTCAGTACGAACGAAGGGGAAGCACAGATCATTGGCAGAACGGAGACTATAATTAGATCTTTCAGAAACGAAATTAGGACATTAATCATAACTATAACAAAATTCTCAAATCTGATTGGCTATCAACTGCCCTGATTTCAGCCTTGATAGGACAGTTAAATAGAACAGTACGCGTCATGCCTAAGTAATTGGACTGTACACGCCATCACGCGCGCTCTTAAATAGCCTTTTTTCACTGCTGGCAAAAAATAAGGTCTTGGAATTTTTAGTGTTTTGATTTAAAAAAAAGAGCCTTATATATCACAAATTTTGTTAAAGTTATGATGAATTGGTAACAGAACTTCGTGTCGTCCAATTCGGTCTGTAATCATACTAGTGACTAAACAAATCGGACGACCGAGTTGGACTCTCATCAGTCCTGTTACCATTACAAATCGCATAAATAAGGAGGGGCTAACTTATATATACCATTTTGTACATCAGACTAAGTTGATGTACTTTTCTTCTAACACTAAGTTCAACACAAGAAAGTTCATTTAATAGAGATACCCAGTTTGTATCTTTTAAAGCACCGGTTACAACCCTTGCGCCCTCTATTTGTAAGCTTTGTAACAAATTACTATCAGATTCAGGACATCCATCCCAAACCACATCAGCATATTCTAAGGATGAAAGCACCAAGGATTTGAATAAAACTTCAAGTGTATAACGGCTCAAATTGTCTTTGAATGGCTTTAGGAGGTTTAACTTTTCTGAAGCTTTTTGATGAATTTTTAATATATGGGCTCGCCAAGATAAGTTAGAAGACAAGGTCAAACCAGGATGTTCATGAACTGTCACATCCTCAATAATACTATTGTTCAAAATCAAAGGGGGCTGCAAAGGCTTATCTCTTTTTGCCGAAAAAACAACTGATTTAGTCTTTGATTCATTCATAGTCACCAACCACCGTTTAGCCCAATCAGATATTGATGTCGAGTCATGATCAAGTCATGATGTTTGTTATAGCTTTATAAATATGAGAAACACCTGTCACTGAAATGCAAACTGCAGAAAGATGACGGCGAGCCATTTCACCGCCGATGGAAAACAAGAAAAATATGAGGAAATATTTGCTCGTTAGAATTAACCAGAGGAATGCATAGCCAGTTCATCTTTCTATTAGTGCTAAACACAATTCTGTCGGTCACCGCGTTTCTCGGCAATACTCTGATCTTACTAGCCCTCAAGAAAGAAACATCTCTTCATCCACCATCTAAACTCTTGTATCGTAACCTAGTCACAACTGATCTCTGTGTTGGTTTCATTGTGGAACCTTTGAGTGTTATTTCCTTGATAGCTGCTGTAACTGGACGATGGAACACTTGTCGGTATGCATTTCTAGCAAATTACATCACAGGTTATATATTGTTTGGGGTGACTTTGTCAACTATAACGGCGATCAGCTTGGACAGACTTCTGGCGTTGTTGTTGGGGCTTCGATACAGACACTTCGTAACCTTGAAGCGGACATACCTAGCTGTAACTGCTCTATGGATTGTGCCTGTTGTCTGTACAACAATGCACTTTTGGAATCACCAGGTCACCGCATGGTACAGTTCTATGCTTACCTCATTTTCCCTGCCCTTGTCAACCGCCTTTTTCGCAAAAATTTTTCACGCTCTGCGTCATCAACAGATTCACTCGCAGAACCAAATTCACCAGGGACAGTCCAGCGAAGCAAATCTACTGAACATGGCGCGCTACAGAAAGGCAGTATCGAGTGCACTGTGGGTGCAGTTGGCATTAGTTATTTGCTATCTGCCGATAAGCATAGTGGAAGCTTTGACAATTCAAGGATTGTCCCCATCTGTTGTCATTGCTAAGGAGNTATCGAGTGCACTGTGGGTGCAGTTGGCATTAGTTATTTGCTATCTGCCGATAAGCATAGTGGAAGCTTTGACAATTCAAGGATTGTCCCCATCTGTTGTCATTGCTAAGGAGTTTGCAGCGACTCTATTCTACCTAAACTCAACATTAAACCCGATATTATACTGCTGGAAGATGAATGAAGTTAGACAAGCGGTCAAAGGAATAATTGAAGAACTTGGGTGTTTATTCTGTCTGCGTTGTTTAGTTTGTTAGTTGCTGTCCGCGCGTACAGAAGAAGAGAGCTTGAGCCTCCAGGACGGCGACGTTAACGAGAAAGACAAAAAGGGATGGGCTTTAGTTTGGTTTCTGGATAATCGCCCTAAAAGCCAGGTCCTTGATCGGACGATAAAGACGATGCCATGCGTGCCGATTCGCACAATAAAGACGATCGCAATCGCTTGAATAGACCTTAAGGCTATATATATACATTGGCTGGTGCCGATGTAATCGTCCGGGGCTTAAACAGTAGTTTTATAATCGCAGCGCAGTTCGCACCAATACGTTTATACTTAAAAGAAAAAATTGCAAGTTAATCAGTATACGGTGATGCTACAACTAATTCCAACATAGGGATTATTACCGCGAAAAATAATTCGGGCTTCAATTTAGCGGCAATGTCCGTGTAAGATTCAAGACGCTCAATAAATATAACGTGTTATCGCTTAGCCTGCGTAAAAGGCGTTTTTTTTTTCCCGCGTCGCGCGTGTCTGGCGATCCTTGTTCGCTTCGCTCTTGTCTTCGTTCGCCTGTAAAACGCGAAAGTAACTTTAATCTTTGTAGTCTTATCGAGTATAAGGTTATGTTTTGTTCGTTTAAAATTTTTTCCTATACTGATAGTAGACTGTACACTGAGTTGACATACACATGACGACCCTTGTCAATATGCTGGTGTCCATCTCGGGTTAGCGGTCGTTTCGATACAAGTTTATTCGTTTGAGGTCTAAATAGCTCCACGTCCTTGGCTTACAGAACGAAGATATTCACCATACTGTTTTTTCTTGTACACTCGCAAACTATAATTGAAGTGAACAAAATGTTTGTGCCATTTCACTGCTTGAGTTTGTATCGAAACGACCGGTTTCCCCGTCTAGCACAAAAAGCTCCTGGAGACTTGGCGAAGTGTTTATTTCGAACAAGTTACGCATTTGAAATGCGACAAGTATACAAGTATGCTGCGAAATAAATCTACATCGAGAATGTTGTTACAGATGAAACTAAGAATCTGACTTACTTGTAGTCCTTCTCCCAGAACTTTACAGGTCGAACGTATGAAGTAATGAATATGGCACTTCCCAGGAAAGGATTCAATGGTGCAGACACGATTGAAGACACTAAGGCTTGAAAAAACAGCATGGCGGAGTCTGAAGACAAGTAGTCAAGGAAACAAGCACATTCAGATTAACTTTAACCAATCACGACAGACCTAGGCAATCCAATGAACCTATCAGAGCAAAAGGCGAAACCGCCCAGCAAGCAAAAACCGCGGGAAACACGAGCTATCAATCACGAGAGCTTTGAAATTCAAAACTTATTCGGCTAATCAACAACCTAGATAATCCAATGAGCCGATCAGAACCCAAAACGAGAGCTTACAGCCGCCACCAGGCGCGCGAAAAAGACGAGTAAGCAAATCAAGAGTGCTTTGAATTTAAGAATAACTTTGGCCAATCAGAACAGACTTTGACAATCCAATGCGCCAATCATAACTCAAAGCGGAAGTATACAACCGCTTGAATAGCTTAAATAGCTTGAGCCAAGAGGGTTGAGTGTAGTTCTGAATAAAAGCTGTTGGTGCTGGTGAATGACGTTTGAGGCACTCGTACCAAACGTCAGTGTGTCGTTCAAGTAACGCAAATTAATCGCAAGTCTGGCTCTAAAGGAAAAAGGCAAGATTAGGCCGATATTTCAACGGGTACCGATAGTCTTCAGGACCAGCGCCAAACCGAAGGATACAACACCTATTAAACTTTAACGTAAACATAAATAGCAAATAGACAGGTTCAAGCATCACGTTTACGTCAAACGGCAAACGCGAATTTGCACCGGGTGACCAAGTCTCCTCTTTACTTGTCGTTTATTGCTCTTTATTTCTAAACCTAAATTGGTAAAATTCACGCAATTTTTTATCCATAAAATTGTTTTGAGCTGTTTCTATCTGCTCATTTTCTATTGAGAAATTCTCAACTTGAATCTGACGTTTGCCGTAAACGTGATGCTTAAATTCTCCAATGGTCCTCTCGCATGACAAAAATGATCCGTGGTTTTTACCCTTCACATTTATTTTAAAGGATACGAGGAACACTAAAAGGCTGTGCGAAGGCGTGGAATGCAGAGCCCCACGTGATCTGCCAAGGCGCTATATACGTCACCACGAAACGAACCTTTAGGATAAGCTCATATAACTGCAATAGAAACAAAATACGAAATATCAGCCATGTGGACGTCGCGCGTGGAACGGGCCCCCCGGAGTGTTGTGCGAACTGCGGTGTTTTTTGTTGCAAATAGTTATGGTGATTACTGGGACTCATATTATGAAAAATTAGAAGTCCCAGTTCATAACCAACGAGTCCCAGTTCAAAAACACAAGGAGTCACGTTTGGGTCTTTATGTAACTAGACAGTTAATCTGGAGACAGACGCCAAAACGCTTTATTATAGTTCACTGAATTTAAAATATAGTCCTTTCATATGTTTAAAGCACAAAAAAGACTAAAATAAATATGAATCATTAAACAACAGCCACAGAAATCACACGAACAGGATATTCTACCAAAAAATCTTCAAATCTATCGATCGTTCTTTGCGTCCTACGGAACGCATGCCATGAATTATTTTGCGTCTTTGCGGATTTTTATGCGTCAGGGACGCAGGACACAGAGGTAACAAAATCATTGGAACTGCACTATGGAACCACACCACGGTGAGGCAAAATGACTTTAGCATTATGTTTATGAGGGTTTGTATTCAGTGGGATTTTATTTACCATGAGAGGAAAACACGAGCAAATGGGTCTAAAATATATAGTGCCGAGGTGAATATTTCTCTAGACCTCCCTCTCCGTCCTCGGAAACGCTTCGCGCAAGAGCAAAGTTTTGTTGAAAAATGGCGACAACAAGTGTGCAGTTTCAGTTTTCAAACACTTTAAACTTTAAACAGTTAGAATTACATCCTTAAGCTTTGAAAGGGGGGTGAGGGGTATCCGGTTATCCGGCCGGAAACTGAACCGGGGCCTACAGCTCTGAAGTCTCAGACTCAACCAGTTGAACTAGCCAAAGTGATAGGCAATTTGACAGCAGGCCAATTAGGGACCTTTAGATTCGAGCACTAGAACGACTACGAGATTTGATTGAAATTGTTTTCGCGTATTCTCAAAAAATAGACACCCCGGAGAGCTTCATTGAACTTTTGAATCACCAGAAACGTTAGCCCTGTTATCTTTATTGGGGGAGGTTGAGCCCTCTTCTATCGCAAAATTCTAAAACTTTTACTATTTGTTAACCTGTTCCGCCACTACGATATTCTCGCTAAAACTCATAGCAGAATGACGACGGGTATCACGTTTTCCCGCCAAAATGACGCCGGCTCACGCGCGCGCACTACTTAGTATTGAGAAAATCCAGTACTCGTAAGCGTCCTCGTTTAAGAATCTAACTATTGACTGTTAACTCAATGACAAGCTTAAAATGCCTGTGGTATTACGGCGACCAGTTTTTCCTCCCACTCACCTTGCTAATAAATATGGACATAAAGAAATAGTCCACAACAAAAGTCTCGGAGGAATGACTGTAGTCAAAGTGAAAGAAGAGCACTGTCCATAGAAGCACTATATGCTGACGAGAGGGATCTGAGAACGATGAACGAAGTAGCTTCAACCCCATGATACAGATGACTGCTGGGCCACCACTGAAACGTAACAACAGATCATTTTTAGGCTGAAAAAAAATATATCCCGTACATGCTTTCCTATGTTGCTTGGAAATGTGAATAAATTGTATTGCATTGCATAGCACTGCATTGCATTGCATTGTATTGTATTGTGTTGTGTACAACATAAAGAATAATAGCCTAAACGGATATAAAAATTCTCAACCTACAGACTAGTGTTACGATTTCTCACACTACTAGACAACATCCAATAGGGAAAAAAGCTGACACAATATTTCACTTACTAAGGGCCAAAGTTCTCGACAATTTTGCTGGCATTTGATGTAAGAGCACTCAAGAACACATCAGGATATATTATGTTCCTTTCCACAAAGTTTATCCAAACATGTACCCACTCATGAACCATTATCTTTGCTGCCGCTGCAGAAGAAAACAAAATGATTGGCTCGATGTGTAAGCTAATGATCAGTCAAATACTGGAATGTAAGTCCTCTCAATTTCTAGCCTCGTCCCTGGTCAATTTGCGCTATATCCTCGCTATTGTAGGTTCTTCGTAAACACGTTGCATGCGTTTAAATTGCACAGTGTAAAGATCTGACTGAGCTATCTC